TACATGTCTAAATTTACACCTAAAATCATGGGTATATTAAGTAATTAATTCATTAAAGCACAACTGGCTGGAAGGGAGTAGAATCCTTTTTAATACCATGAGTTTATTTGTGTCCACAGTTAATATTCATGCTTATAAAGATGTTTATTTTAAAATATTAAATATGCATGCAACCAAGCCATTCACATTTTACACTCACTGTTCTTCACAAGTCTTTAGAAAGCTCAATCAAGAACTAACAATTTTTTCAGACTCTAAAGATTCACTAATGTGAAGATTATTTTCATGTGCAATTATATTCATATTTGAATAACAAATTTAATTCCAAATGCTTTAAGAAAAAAGTACATAAACTTAAAAGAGTGGACCTGAATAAATAAGGCATTTTTAGCTACAAATTTAATTCTGCTATATAGCAGCATCAGGCATTTTCACAAAGAATGATACTTTGATTACAAGAAAAGTCAAAAAACTCAAGAAATACTGTATTTTCTCCACCATGGAAAATTATTTAAAATGAAAGCTTTAGTTACTATACCTTAACTGCAATTTCAAAAGAAACCGCTAAAGTGGTTTATTATTTTCAAAACTGTAAATCTGTTCAGCATACCCACATGTATTTCATTAAATACATAAATAAAGGGAAATATCTACAGCCTTACCACATCTGGGACTCTATCTGAGTTCATTTTGTTGACATACTCATCATTTAAGTTACAGTTGGCCAAATCAAACCTGAAATGATAAACAATGAAACACGTGATGACAAAACATTTACTCACTGTGTAACATTTTACATTCTGCATGATCACTTAAAAGTTCCTCCTAAGATCAAATCAAATATTTAATATGCTTCCTCACTTTATAAGTTCTGCAAATATGAACATGGTTCTTTAGATTTTGGTAAAGATAATAACTGATGGATAATTACTGTCCATCTTAACATATTTTGTAAAGGAAATAAAACAGAGTATGTATCAGTCTAACATTAGAATTTTGTTAAACAGGTCCATTTAGTTGATTTAAAAAGGGCTAAAATACCTCATCCTATAGTAAAAAGAACCAACTAACTCTAAGAGCAAAAGTAATATCTAAAGCAAAATGGTAAGCCTTGCAACAGAATGGACTATACTGTGTCTAATAGAGTTCTTGCATATCCAGCAACCATATTTCAAAAGTTAA